TCTCTCTCTCTCTCTCTTTCTACCTCTTTCGATCCCGCCGTCTCTTAATCCTGATGTAATGTTCGACTTATTGTGTTTATTGTCGATGGAAACATGCACAAGACGTCTAATGCTCGCTCCATGTATATGTATAAAGGTTTACTTTTATTTTTTAAAAGGAGGGGGGGGGCGGGGCTGGCGCGTTTCACCCATAGAGCAAGTTCGTGCAGTGCCACCCAAAGTTCGTAATGTTCTATTGCGTAAAACACTCACAAGCAGAAAGCAGAAAACAAAAGAACGCAGCAACTCAGCCAAATATTTATTTTATCAATGCAAGGTCCTCGCGGGCGCTTTAACGGTTATTTATCGTGTCTATAGTGTCGTAAAACATCTACCATGCTATTAAAAAAAGTTCCCGTGCAGTACGAAAGAATGTCCAGCTGTGGTTATCAGACCTAAAAAAAACTATCTTTCGTTCAACCCAAGCAATGACGAGACTCGTACAAAGTTTGGCGGTACATTAACATAATAATAATATACATTAATTATGATAATAAGATGGCAAATCTCAAATGTGCGCTCGCCGAAACAGCCCACAGTGAAGGCAGTCTAAAAACCACATACGAGACTCAAACTGTTCACGATAACCTACACTTTTCTATGCCCACATTTTGTGAGCTCTGGGGCAACCCATCGGAGTGCGCAAGAGAACTGTGAATGGTTCATAGTCTTTCTTTTAGGTCTTGCCCCCACTCTGAGACTCTGAACTTGAGCAAGGTAAACGTGACGTAATTAGGTTACCGACAGTTAAGCCTTTGAATGGTGTGTAGGCCTACTGGTGAAAGTGTTGATATTATCATTACTTGAATATAATTCAGTTCCAAAGCAGAATGGACAAAAAGTTGAATTTTAGCAAACAAATAGATCTACATTTAGTTCCTAAATCAAAGTTACAAAAAGAGAAAGAAAGTAAAAACATATTAGGTCCTCCCCACTCCAAAGCTACTAAAATTATACAGCATCTCATTGATTATGTCCATGACAATCTTCAAGTTGTGATAGCTTAATTGTGCATGCCCACTTTTTAGGCCCCCCCC